ACCGATTTTTTTCTCAAATTTTCGTTCGATTTTCGCAGTAAATGCATCTCCAAAATATGTTTTCTTTCTCTTCATCAACAAATGTTTTAAGACACATTTACAATAAAAACAACATACAACTTTTATCAACAAAAACAAATCTTAACAATAACATACATTTTTTATCAACAACAACATACCTTATACAACAACATATAACTTTTATCAATAACAACATATATTAGTAACAACATACAACTTTTATCAACAAAAACAAAATCATCAACATTATACAACTTTTATTAACAAAAATATACCTTAAAAAAACATTAATATATCTAAAAAAATCAAAAATATTACAACTCATAACATAAAAGGGGGAAATGTCTCACGTACTTGAAATGTGAAGAGGAGGTGAAAGAAATGAGTTTTTTGTAACACCTTTTATTGATTCATATGAGTTGAAGAAGATATGTTGAAGTATTTTGAAAAACGACCGTGATGAAATATAGATACGTTTCACAATAGTTTTTGATTTCAATTGTCGTAAAAAATATTTTCATTTTTAATATCAATATATTAAAATTCAAAATCTATAAGCCTTAACATATCAAACAATCTTATTAGTATGGATTGCAATTAAGAAAATTTAATAAAAAAATATAGGTGCCTAAATTAAATCTATTACACCCGTTGATTGAGGAACCAGAATTAACATGTTTATTTTGTAGCAGTGAATAGATTTCATACGCTAAGAGTTTCAATCCTTTTCTAACATCATTTTTGTAGGCGTGCTTGCCAAGTTGCCATAATCACCATACGCTAAGGGGAGTAGTAGATTACTCAAACACTACTACTATATATTTGGTTGGGCTTGCGTGACATATATTTCCAACAAAGAATTTTTCTAAAAGAAAGTTATAAATTTTTTAAAAGGTTAAACAAATCAGAAATTTTCTCAAATTTGTCTATTTACAATTTTGATTTTCACAAAAGATACATAATTCAAGCTTTTCAAAAAAGAAAAATTCAAAAACAATTTTATGTCTAAGAAATGTTATGCGAGAGAAAGTGAGAGTAAATTTATAGTGAATCTAAAAAATTGAGAATTTTATTTTGCATTCATAAAATTATACCTAAAACTATACATGACACTTCATATTTTTTTAATATAAAAAATATTTCTTTCATTTTCTGAGTTATGAGTCAAAATTTTTTCTCTCAAACATAAAAAATTCAGTATGCCATTCAAAAATTCAATATGCATTTTTATTAGTATTTTTGAAAAATCTGATGTAAAATCATAAATTTTGAAAAAAAAAATTATATTAGATTTTTAAAATATTTGATGTAAAATATTAAATTTTAGAAAATCTTTGATTTTATATTTGATTTTTGAAATAATTGATATAACAGGTAGGAATTCTGTAGGATTTTTTAAGTAATTATTTTCAAAAAAATCAACTTATAATTATCAAATTCTTTGACAAATTCAACTTGTTTTATAATTGTCGTGTTTTTTATTTAAAAAATGGTATGAAATTATAATTTATTTTAAAAAAATCTATAATTTAATTTCAGATATTAGAAAAATCCAATAAAAAACGATTTTATATTAATTTTTCAAACATCAAATATAAAAATCATAAACTTTGAAAACAAATTATAATTTTATATCACATTTTTTAATATTCTAGTATAAAATTATAGATTTTTTATATCGGTTTTTTTATAAGAAAAAACTAATACACGCCATAAATTTTATATTAGTATTTTTGATCTGACCTGATCAGAAGGGGATCACTAGCTGGTTACACTCTGTTGGATTGCTGCCTGTTCACCGGTGATGATGATGAGGAGGGGGGTGTACCTGCAAGGCACTCCGATGTCAAAGTGAGTATATGGGCAGAGTGATCACAAGTACAGAAAAAGGGGTAAGAAGTGAATTACCTGACCCTCTTGTGGAAGAGGGTATTTATAGAGAGACCCCAGCGCTGGACCAACAGTCACTTGTGTTGGGTTGGATCGCCAGGCCCAACCTAAGTGACTACTAGGGCTTACGTGGCGTAGTGAAGATCAGGACGTGGTCTTCGCCCTAGTTCAACTGCTTCGTGAACTCCGGAAAGTGGGTTGACCTGCTCTTTTGGAGGTGGGCAGTTGGTGGATGACGTGTCCTCGCGGAGGGGAGCACGCGGAGAACGTGTGAAGGACACGTTGTCCTGCCCGACAAGGTGCGGGTTCTGCCCGCGGAGGGCAGTGTTTGGTCGAGAGGGGAGTCTCCTGCCCGACGTAGTTGGGGCGGTCCTTCTCGCGGGGAGACCTTTCCTGCTCGTCGGGGACTCTGTGCCCGACGTTGTGGCCCAAACTAGACTGGGTTTGGTGGAATATTATTGGGTTGGGCCCGCGTGGCAAGGCCGGGGCCCAGGCCAGAATAATTTTCAAAAACCAATATTGACTTTAAAAAAACGTTTATAAGTATTATGATATTATGATAAAAATACTATTAATGTGAAATGTGAATATAAAGAAACAGGTGTCACTTAAAATTTTCAAAAAAAAGTTGAAAGTGAAAATATAAGAGAATTTTGTATTTCATCCCTTGGCATTTTTAGGCACCATGCGCTTTGCCTAAAATATCTCTTGATTTCGAAGATGTATTTTCAGACGCACATTTTTTCAGCTTTTTAAAATTAATTTCGTAGATGCATCTACAGAATATTTTCGTATGCGTATTTACGGAATAAAACCAGAAACAGAATACCAGAAAATCAACTTGCAACAATAAAATCAACATTTATAAAATAAAATCGGCGTTACATTGATGATTTCGACATAAACTTAAATACTACATTTCAATAGCCCGGTGGACACTTGCACATCTCTAAGATGTCATGGACCGTCGCCTCCAACTCGAACGGAATTTTCTCTTCGAAACCGAAATACGTTTGCCACATCGCCCTAACATCGTCTTGATTCTTGAGCTCAAACTTGTTGTGAACTACGTTCCCTTCGTTGTCAACTGAAGGTGAACGATACTCAAACTTCACAACCTTTCATTTGTCATTGTAAGGTAGACGATATTGGATCTTGTCTATGATATCGGCGGGGGGGGGGGGGGGGGGGGGGTGAGATCCATGAGCTCGAACGTCCTACCATGTGTTTTGCCGTTGGAAAAGGAGACACTTGCGACACAGATCTTGATTTCACACAATTGATACATTTTTGTATTTGTGTGAAAGATAACAAATGAAAATCCAAATTTATAGAAAACCTAGTTGAATATAGACCAACCATTTTCTGTCAAACTTTTTTCCGGAGCTATATCCACGAAATGACCCCATAACTATTGGTTCCGAAAGTGTATCCACGAAAGTTTCCCTTAACTGAATTATTTTGAAATTTTTTCTAACGTTTACCAGTTTAAAATTATTCTGTAGATGTAGCTCCGAAAAAAAAAATCAAATTTTGACCAAAAAAGATGCGTCCAGATATTTATCTCCGAAAATAGGGGAATAAAAAAATGCGTTATGTACCTAAAAAATATCAAGGGGTGAATTAAGAAATTCTCAAATATAAATGATAATACAACCCAAGTCCAAGCCCAACGAATGGGCCTTTAAAAAAGTAGAAAAATTGATTTTTTTTTTTTAAACTAATCAAGTATTTGAAAAAAATACCAAATAAAACAAGTGTCAAAATATTTACTAAAGTGGCTAGGATTCTACATGCATGTGTCATATCATATGGCTAAACCATTCAAGCCATAGCAGATTATGGCGTAAGAGGCAAAAAAAATCAAATTATATTTCAAAGGATTCGCCAAAAGGTATGGCGAATTAGTTGTATGTGTATTTCTTTTTATCTTTTATGTTTTTTTTGTTGTTTTTAATTTTGTTTTGTTTATAATTTTAGTTTTATAAAATAATAAAAATTGATTTAAAATAAATTATATTGGTTTAGAATAATATAATTTTAGTTTTTTGATATTTGATATAATTATTTAAATTTTAAAATATAATAAATATATAATTCATATATAATTTTTAAACATAATAAATATAAATAGGTTTAAATTTTAAAACATAATACATATATAATTAAAATATAATTTTAAAACATATTAAATATATAAGTAATATATAATTTAAAACATAATAAATATCAAATTGTAGGTCATCTTTGAATTTTGATATTTTAAAACCATACATTGTTAATTTTTGGTATTTATTGAAAAAAAGTATAGAAAAAAAATTGCAACTAACTGAGTCGCCATACCATTTGACGAATCCTTTGAAATATAATTTAATTGTTTTTGCCTCTTACGCAATATCATATGAGAATCTGTTATGACTTGCATGGTTCAGCCATATGATATGACGCATGCATGTTGAATCCTAACCATTTTAATAAATATTTTGAACACTTATTTTATTTGATATTTTTTTTTCAAAAATACTTGATTAGTTTAAAAAAAATTCAGAAAGACTTCTCCACCATATTTTTAAAATGACAAATATATTTTTATTAAAATTTAATTAAAAAAGAGCACATGAAAAAATTCGATAGTACAATTAAAAAATTTAATATGAATGGAAAAATTCGATAGTATATTTTAATGATCAATATATATTTTTTTCTGATTTTATTTTGATAATTTGATATATTCAATAATGTTTTTGATTTTAAGAAAATCAAATAATTTAATACTATCTGATTTTACGAAAAATCCAACTGTTAAAATTTTTTTTTTCAAATTTAAACTTTCGACAGTTTTTAAAAATTCAAAAAATTATCAAATTTTATAAAAATATAATATTTCTTCAAATATTTATCAGAAAACAATATGTTTTTATTAGAAATTTTTTATATTTCTTTGAAAAATCAAATAAATCCAAAAGAAAAAAAGTTCAATTTTTTTTAAAGAATATTTAAGGTAATAACAGCCACATATGAAGTGCCGTGTGTAAGTGGACGTGGTCAACATAAAATCCCAAAATTCGGTAGCATGTAAGAGAAGAACCATGGCGAAGGCGAAACCCAACTTGATCTTCGCATACGGCACACTGAAGCAAGGATTTCCCAACCATGGTTTAATGCAAGATCTGAAAACCAATGACGACGCCGTTTTCATAGATACATCCCACACGGAGGACTCATATCCTCTAGTCTGCGGACCCCACGGGATACCGTATCTGATCAACTTACCCGGGTCGGGTCATCGGGTGAAGGGCGAGGTTTACGCCGTGTCTGATGATGCGGTGGTTCGCCTGGACGAATTCGAAGGTGTGAAAAATGGGTATTACGAACGGATTCCGGTAGTGTGTGTGACGGATGGTGGGGAGAAGGTGAAGGCGGAGGGGTATTTTGGGCATAGAAGCTTTGGGGAGATTTTGTGGAAGAAGAAGGGTGAGGTTGGGTTGATAGAATATGGGGAGAATGAAGCGAAGGAGTATGTGAGGAAAGAGGATAGACCTGGTTGTAAAAACAGTATTCTTGACATCTTAATTCGTTAGTTTCTGTTTTGTCTTCTCCAAAACAATAATTTGTTGTTCCTGAATTGGAACTGTAGTTTATTGGATTTTATGTTTAATGGATATATTATTTGTATCATTTTGTGGCATTCCATTTGTTAAACATAGTGTTTCTGCTGTTTTCATCTTGTTTTATTTATGATTTATGTGATTAATTACTCTAATATTTGAAGTTGATTTGAACCTATTCATAATGCTTCATGCTCTGTCCGATACAGATACTTTGCTGTCGGCATGTTATTTAGATGGAAAGCATATATGGGATTTGGAATGAGTTGAAGTATTAGTTTTATTGAATAGATGTCTTTTAGAATTTCTGATATCCAGACAATAATTTGTACCTTAGAGTAATTTGATTGGTGTATCTCTTCAGATTACACAATTAAAGAAGTTATGGCAAGATTCAAACTCATCCAATCTCTGAATGGAATTGTAAACTTCTTGCCAATTGATAAGATTTGTACTCACAAAATGGATATCAAGTCATTCTTTTTCTCAAAGGTTTAAATGATTAATACTCAATTGTTAGATCACAAGTTATGTAAATGGATCCACTTTCTAACATTTGTAAAGTTTACTCCTTATTTGTTCAATAAGAAGGACAACTTGTCACACCCTTAGATGAGTCGAAAGTTCTTGTCTTTCCCAATCAAAATCAAAATAAAAAATTTTAAAGCAATGAAAGCTCAGATTATCGCAGTAGAGATTCTACAGGTAGCAAGTTTAATGGTGGCAGAGGAAGAGATGTCAGAATTTGCACTCGTTATGTGATGATTAATCACACAATTGATTCATGTTTCAATAAACATGAATTTCCTTCTCACCGGAAGCAATTAAGATGGTGCAATTAATAATTTTGCAACTATAGATGGCAATTTAGATGAATCTCAATCTAAAATTAATAAAGAACATGGACAAGATCACAGTCCTTTAGTTTTCACATCAAACCAAGATAAGGCTTTATTAGCACTCTTCAAGGTTTATCTTTAATATAGTCTCATAGTATAAGACTGTTGACTTCTAAACCCGAGTTAGGAACATATATCATTTACACCATTCCTAGTATACCTAATGTTGAAGGGTAATTCAGTATTTTAGTATTTAGCCTACGTGACATTATTGTGTGTATATATAAGTAGTAGTGTGCTTAGCCAATAAGTAATGTAATAGAAACACACTATACGATAGAGTAGTGGAGTAACCATTCTCTGTGTGTAACCGTTAGTGGAATTGTAGTGGAAGTTTATTAGAATTTGTTATTCTCTCTCTCTCTCTCTCTCTCTCTCTCTCTCTCTCTCTCTCTCTCTCTCTCTCTCTCTTCTGTTTCTTCCTCCATCTTCATCTTTTTCACCTTGTGCACCAACAATTGGTATCTAGAGCTCTAGTTCAGATCCAAAACTAAACACAGGAAAATACGAGTGAATGGTGAGTCGTTGTGTGATTGATTTTGTTTCTTGAATTTATGTTGAATTTTTTATCGGGATCGTAATAGAATCACATTTCTTGATTCTGCGGGATTGGAAAACACTAGTGCTTGGTGAGATCTGAGTGAACTGCACAAGGTCAAAGATGAACGGAAATAGTAATCTAAGTACCAAGCTTCCAATGTTCGATGGCAAGAACTATAATCGGTGGATGATTAAGATGTGTGTGTTGTTTGACACTCAAGATGTTCTTGATCTCTTAACCGACAATTATGTTCCGGTTGCACTTCTGAAAAATGCAATGGATGTGCAGCGGAATGCTCAGTGTGATATGAGGAAGAAGGATCAAAAGCCGTTGTTCTACATCCATCAGTGTGTGGATGTGAACGTGTTTGAGAAAATCGTTGATTCAGCGACGGCGAAGGCTGCATGGGACACACTAGCACGATGCTACGGTGGTGATGTATAAATGAAGTAGGTGAAGCTTTAGTCTCTACGTAAGCAGTATGAGAATCTCAGCATGAAGAACAATAAAAAGGTACCTGACTACATCTCTAGAGTGATTATGATTACAAATGAGATAAAGTCGTGTAAAGAAACTCTCAGTAAAGAAAAGATCATTGAAAAGGTACTTAGATATCTTACTCCTCAGTTTCTTTACATTGTGATAACAATTGAACATTCTAAGGATCTTAGCACCATGAGAATAGAAGAGCTGCAAAGTAGTCTAGAGGCACAAGAGTTGCGTCTGACTGAGAGAAACTCTGAAATAGAGGTAAAGCAGCAAACTCTGAAAGCAACTTCTGGTAAGAAGTATCAGAAGCAGTCTTGGTCAGAAGTCAGGAGGAGATCTGATGGTGCTCAAATGTCAGAAACCTCAACTTCTAGAAGGCAGGAGAGTGCTCATAAGGAGAAGGAGAAGTATGACAAGAGAAAGATTCAATACTACTGTTGTAAGAAATTTAGCCACTTCGCTGCTGATTGTTGGTCAAACAAGGAAAGGAAGTCAGAAGAAGCAAACGTAGTTAGAAGAGATTCTAATGATGAATCTGTGCTATTGATGACTTCTGAATCTGATGACGTGTATTTGACAAACTGGTGGTATATGGACACTGGTTGCTCAAATCATATTACTGAAAATAAGAAATGGATGGTTGACTTTGACTCTAGAAAGAGGACCAAAATCAGATGTGTTGATGATAAATACATGAACGCTGAATGTATGGGAAATGTTAGAATAGTTCTGAATAATGGTAAAAGAGTATTAATTCAGATTGTGTGGTATGTGCCTGACATGAAAAGCAATCTGATGAGTGTAGGTAAATGAATTGAAAATGGATTTCCAGTTACCACGAAGGACAATCTTTTGAAGCTGTATGAGTGTAATCTAAAGCTGATTATGAAGTCAGAATATGGAAGAAATAGAACATTCAAAGTGAATGTTAAAATCGCAAACTGTGAATGTCTTAGTGCAACAAGTGTTGTGAAGGAATGTGAATTGTGGCATAAAATATTTGGTCATTTGAACATCAAAAGCTCAAGGCATCTGAACTCAAAGAAATTGGTACAAGGAATTCCTGCAACTCAGAAGCCAGAGAAATCATGCAATGTGTGCATGAGAGGGAAGCAACCAATATTTCCATTTGCATTTGAAATGCCTCAAAGAGCAAAGCATGCTTTGGGTGTGATGCATTCTGATGTGTGTGGACCATTTCCACTACCTTCACTTGGAGAGAATAAATACTTTGTGTTATTTGTAGATGAGTTCACAAGGACGATGTGGGCATCCCTTATAAAGTTCAAACACGAGGTGTTTACTGAATTTAAGAAATTCAGAATCAAGGCTGAGAATTAGAGTGGACAGACTCTGAAGATTCTCATAACTGATGGTGGAGGTGAGTATAACTCTACTGAGTTTAGAAAGCTCTGTGAGGAGAATGGAATCAAGCATGAGGTGATTTCTCTATACACTCATCAACACAATGATCTTGATGAAAGAAGAAACCGAACTTTGCTTGATATGCCGATGAGCATGTTGAAGGGGAAGAAGCTCTCTCGCACATTGTACGGAGAAACTGTTTCCACTGCAGCATATGTGCTCAACAGGTGTCCAACCAAGAAGATGAATGAAATTTTTCCTTTAGAGAAGTGGACTGGAGATAAGCAAAGTGCGATCCATCCGAATGTGTTTGGTTCTGTGTATTACAAACATGTCCCAGATGCTAAGAGAAGGAAGTTGGATGATAGAAGTAGAGTTATGTTGCTTGTTGGGTACCACAATACAGGTGCCTATAAGCTCTACTGTATTGTCACTAACAATGTTGACTTTAGTAGATACGTCGTTATGAAAGAATCATAAGCATGGGATTGGAGTGAATTTAAATCTAACTCTTGTGCGGTGTTAACACCTGATTTGACTTCTGAATCTAAAGGTTCTGAAGATGAGTCAGAACCAAAAGCTGATTCTGAAGGTGAGTATGAAGATGAGCCAAAGTATGAAGGTGACTCTGAAGCTGACGAAGACTCTGAAGGTGAATCTGATTCTGATCCATATTCAAATGGTGATTTAGACTCTGGTGGAGATCCCGACTCTAGGAATATTCCATATTTGAAGGTGGTAATGCCTCTGAAAGTGGTACTTCTAGTGTTCCAACATCTAATACTGTTACAGAACCCGAAGACGATTATGAACAAGTTCAGAGGCCACAAAGAATTAGAAACATACCAAGGAAATTTGTGGAGTTTGACATGTTGCAAGATACTTAAGTAGACTCTAAAAGAGAAGTCGTTAAGTGTGCCATGTTAATAGACTTTGAACTAGTCAGTGTTGAAGAAACACTGAAGAAGAAAGTGTGGCTGAAGGCCAAGAAAGAAGAACTTAAGGCTATAGAAAGAAACAAAACTTGGAAGTTGACTAAGCTTCCAAAGAACAAGAAAGTCATTAACGTTATATAAGTTTTCAAGGAGAAACTAAAGCCAGATGGATCAATTGGAAAACACAAAGTAAGGTTAGTAGCAAGAAATTTTCTACATAAACATGGGTTAGATTACTTTGAAGTGTTTGCGTATGTAGCGAGACATGAGATAATTAGACTGATGATTGTGATAACATCTCACAGGAATTGACCTCTGATGCATTTAGATCTCAAATCTGCATTTCTGAACGGTCATTTACACCATTCCTAGTATGCCTAGTGTTGAAGGGTAATTCAATATTTTAGTATTTAGCCTACATGACATTATTTTTTGTGTATATAAGTAGTAGTGTGGTTAGCCATTAATTAATATAATAGAAACGCAATGTACGATAGAGTAGTGGAGTAATCATTCTCTCTATGTGTAATTGTTAGTGAAATTGTAGTGGAAGTTTGTTAGAATTTGTTTTTCTCTCTCTCTCTCCCTCCGTCCCTCCCTCACTCAGCCCACATTCATTTTTGACACTAGTACAAATGGCCATGTGTGCTATACTACAAAAAAAATTTAGTACTTGATCAATCTTTTTACAACATTGATGTGTATTATATTTTCTTGATTTTTCTTTAAACCTTATTTTATATTTGAATTGACTCAAACACTTAAATGTCAACTGATTTTTAATGACATTGACTATATAATACATGACATATATTCCAAGAATATATTTGGTCAGCTAAATTGAGCCGTGGATTATATCTCTTTAATTCTTCTTAAATTAGTATACACCACAAACTCATTGCATGAATGTCGTACATCCTCACACCTTAAGAAAACTTAATGATTACAACTTTGGTATATACGATTTAGTCATCCTCAAATACAAAATTGCTTGAGATAAATAAAAAAAATCTTTTAAGTTAAAATTTTTTAAGTCTTCTTATTCTCGTGACATCTGTTTTTATGCCAAAAAAAATTAGACTACTTTTTTCTCATAATTCGCATATATCTAATGTTGTTTTTGAAGCGGTACATATGAATATTTAGGGTCTCCTATGATTCCATTTGTGATGGGATTCAAATACCTCATGATTATAGTTATTGACAAAAAAACAAGTTTACTTAAGTATTTCTCATGAGGCTGAAATCAGATACTTCAGATTTCATTAAGTATTTTGTCTCAATAATTGGTACTCAATTTAATGCAAAATTTAAATACATGAGGTCTAATATTGGAAATGAATTTCTGGTCCATGATTAAAACATTATTCAAAGCAAGACAATTGATTCATGATACAAACCCCGTTTCCCTTAATTTCAAAAATAAATTAAGAATACATGTTTGGGCCTATCATCACAGTTTAAGAGACAACTTAGGTTTCTGCATATGCTTTTTAATACAAGATGAGTTCATCAAACACATACTAATTACAAACATGTAGCAAACAAACTCCATTAAAGATGACACATAATATTGCTGATAATCCCTTTATTTAATACAAGTTACTTTAAAAACCAAGTAGCAAAGTAGGGGTAAATTGGTCATCAACAGTTAGTTACAAGCACAGTTGTACTGTTGAGTGCATTCAGCAAAGCCCTTGCCTGAGTCAGCATCAGGTCCTTCAGTTCTGAAAATGGAACAACTCCACCCTTCACCACACTTGCAGAAAACTTCACTGCCACTGTCACTACTAGTCTCAATTTTAGGTGACACAGCTCCATTGTCACTGCATCAGAGTTTGTCAACTTCAGTTAGAATTTCATAACAAGTGCAATACAGTACATACTAAAACACTTCACAAAAAAATATGAATTACATAACTCTAGAATTGATTGTATCTAGAGATGAGTAAATGAATACATACAGTGTACAGGTGCAATTTTCACCGCATTTAACGACAACTTTGCCAGCATCAACCCCATGAGTCCTAGTTATAACACATGTCCAACCTTTTCCTGTCTTGCACAACACATTGCCCAAGCCCAGGCCTGAGTTTTTATCTTCAGCCTGGGCTTTCCTACACGAAAACTTATTGGTTAATAATATGATTTGTTTATGTATTCAAATGAATATATTAATAAACTATATAGATAAAATAAAAGATGAAAAAAGAAAACTGCATATTCTAACCCTTGGTCTTGAGTGAAGCTTGAGGACTCCATGTTCTCAGAATGTTATGATATGATTTTCTTTGCTCATCATTTTTGTCATTATATAATGTATCAACAAATTGCTAGCGAATGAGGTTGAGCTTTGAATAGTCTTTAATGTCCTTTTTCTTGAATAATTGGACCACGTTTTAAGGTCAGAAATAACCTCATGTTATCAATAATTGAGCTTTGTTTAAATTATTTAATTAGTATTTGAGTGGCATCCAATTCATCGAACCACTTAAAGTTATTAGTTTAAGCAAATCAACACACGGAATAAAACACTGCAATTTATTTCCTATGGGATTCTCCTTAAAAAACGAGCCTATAAGATACAAGTGGCCATTTGTAAAATGGAATGGATACAACACTGGTAGCAATGAAAAATTGGATAGTTATTTGATATTCATAAAAAATATGGCTACAAATACTTCATTTTATATTTAAACTAGGAATTGATATGTGATCCGTGCATCCGCACACATTTTTTTATAAACAATAAAATCATATATAATACACCAATCTGTATACAAGAATCAATCGATTACATAAAAATATAACTTCTATAATCTACACTCCCACATATCTTAAATGATCAAAATTTAAAGTACATAGATCAAATAATCAAAAGGATTTTTAAACTTATTGTAGAAACTACATTTAATATAAGATGAAGGACTACAACCCAACCAATTCCAAGAGGTACGAATCACTCTCATTGGAATATCCTTGAGCTTTCCAATCAATTTGTTGAACATAATTTGGTTTCGTGTCCACCAAATAGCCCAACAAGTCACCAACCATATGAATGAGGCAGAAGATTTGAACGATTTCTTAACAACCTTCAAGAACCAATCCAAAAAGTGGTCACAAACATTATTCCCTTCGGTCCAAGGTATGTTCACCCAATCCACAATCTTGCGCCAAACTATAATTATGCAAGGCCACCTACAAACTATTCCCCTGACAGCCAAATTCGTTATTTGTCATTAAATGTTTAAAGTTAAATTTAGATTAAATTATAATTTTGGTTCATTCATTATGGTATACATAAGAAATCGAATTCCCTATTTTATTTTTAAATAATTTTAATTCTTCTTCTTCATTTTTGGTCAAAAGAGTACTCTTGTGTAATTTTTTAAATAGGTGGTGTGTGTTGAGTGACATGAACAATCCCAATTGTTCAATCATCTTTTACATGTCATTCTTTGTTTTATTATATGAGAAACTAGATAGAGCTTTGTGTAACATTGATTGGAGGGAAATGTTTCTTAATGCTCAAGTTAAAGTGTTTGCTAGAGTAGATTTTTCGGATCATCATCCTATTCTCATCATACCGATCATAAGAATGATTGTTAATACCCTTAGGCCTTTTTAATTTGAAAGTGCTTGGCTACTTGATGGAACTTTTCATGATACTTTGAGGAGTTCCTGGGACAGAGAGGCTAACATGGTGGATAATATGGAAATAATTAAAGAGTATCTTCAAAGTTGGAAAGGGAAATCTTTTGATTAAGTCTTGAGAAAGAAGAAAGAATAAGTAGTTCATCTTAATGAAGTCCAAGGTTGCATCCAAAGAAATAACAACTTCTCAGGAATGAAAACTTTGGAGAAGAAACGACATGTAGAGCTGAACTTTATTCTTAAGCAGGAGGAAATTATGTGGTTTCAAAGAGCGAGAACTAAGTGGTTGGTAGATGGAGATCGAAATACCAAGTATTATCATCTTAAGACTATTAACAAAAGATGAAGGAATAAGATACATATGTTAAAGAATAATGATGGCCAGTGGATAGACGATTCGTAGCAACTCCAGATGTTGGTCAAAGATTATTTTACGAATCTATTTGCTGCTGTTGCGGTGAGAATAGGATATCAAATTATTAATAAATTTGAATCGCAAATCTTTAATTCACAACCGGTCTTTGATTTATCCGAAGGAAAGGTCAAAGAAATGAAAAACCTACTTTTTGCATTGTAAGCAATGCGGGGAGAGATCTAGGTAAGGGGTTGGTTAAGCCTAGGAAAGGTATTAGCACCCTAAACTTTTGTAGTACTCTACAGGAACCTCTTGTTTAAAGTTTACTATTTTGCTTGATTATCTGCTTTAGGGTATATGCTAAGGGTTAAAGGTGAAAGAGACACCTAAGGGTTAGTCCTAAGTTTACTCGCCAAGATTCGCATCTTGTGCCTACGTATCCGAGGTAGGGGATGGAATCAGAGTAATCGTAGTTCCCCTTTAAAGGGGGGTTAGAAACTTCTTGATTGTGGTCAAGGTTTCAATAGGGAATAAGCGTTCATAGGGAAGCGCTTACGTGGAGTGCGGCGACTCCTATTTCTACGTTGAAAATAGTTGAATTCAAAAGATAGGTATTCCATGGCGGGAAACCTAATATGGAGTGCGGCGACTCCTTATCTTAATGCTAGGGTAAAGGGTAATTTGGTCCACAGCGGGACGCCTAGGCAATTAGGGTTTAAATGGTGAAAAAGTCAAAGGGTCAAAGGTAAGGACTATTGACACGGCGGTCAAACGGTTAGACCTATTCCTTCGGAAGGGATATTAACGGTAAATGATGCAAAATAATTAAATGGCAGTATAAAAATACGAAAAAGTGCGAAAACAGTAAAGAAAATGCACAACGATGATATACTCGCATAAATTACAACCATGAAAAATGCAAGAATAATGACGAAATAAAAGCGAAGATGCCTTCACATAAATTACAACCAAAAACGAAATACGAAAAATAAAAGCTATAACTGTAAAACTGCATAAACATTAAACGAAAGTAAACGGGGCAATAACCGGGGCTAAGTTCAATTTGAAACTTAAAGCGAAAATGCTTGAAAATAAGCTAACAATTAAACTAAATATTAATTTTAACTTACAAATTTAAATCCCTTAATTAAATTTCAAAAAAAAGGTTTGAAATTAAATTTAATCAATTTTTAACTTTAAGTTTTTGTAAAAAGGTTTTAATTTAAGTTTTAACAAAAAAAATAAGTTTTAAATTAAGTTTTGAAAAATGAGTTTTAAATTAAGTCATTAAAAAAAATGAGTTTTACGTTTTTTAGATGAGTTTTAAATTAAGGGTTTTTTGATTAAATGTTAAAAAAGGGTATTAATTTAAATAATGTAATTACAATTTATTAACACCATTATTAATTTAACTAAAGAATAAATAATAATAAAAAATAGAGAAAAGAAATAGAGAAATAAAAGGGGGAGTGGATAGAGTTGCTGAACATTAGGGTTTTTGGAGACCTATTTTCCTCTTCTTCTTCGCGGAGGCAGACGATCCACTCATGGGTCTCGTCGTGATTTGCTTCTTCTTCCCTGGCCGTTTGAGCTTCTTTCTTCCTCCATGGCTGCTCGAGCTTTCTCTTTCCTGAAAAAAAACCACACAAAACCATTTGATTTGATTTGATTCTTACGGATGATTATGATTTCTTGATGATTTTCGTCGCCTGTATGAACGATGATAGTGATGATTGTTTGATGGCAGCTATTGCTTTGTTGCATGCGATGATGGCCCACGGTGGTGATTATTCTCGCGGACAACGACGGAGGACGATGGCTCTCGTCTCTGAGTCCGGCGGTGGTAGTGAGTCTCTAGGCGAACTCACGACCGCTGTTAGCTTCGTAGTGTATTGGGTTTCACGGTGATGCTTGTTCGTCCCGAGTTGAGTTTGCGCCGTTTCAATCCTTGGTGTTCTTCAAAAAAAATCGTCCCTCCTTTTTCTCTACTGAACTCCTCTTTTTATATTGAGTTTTGATTTGGGATTCTGGGCTTGGATCTTCCTTATTGTTACGATTTGGTGGCGTTTTGGTTGAGGATTTTCTGGAAATTTGCTGCTGATTGTTGTGATTTATTTTGATGTTGTTTGCTTGTTACAATGTTTCAGGAAAGTTTGTTTTTGCTGCAGATTTTGTGGTTTTGAGGCTGGAATTTGTTGCGGGAATTTTGGAATGTTTGTTTGATTGGTTTTGAGAAAGTTGTTGCGCGCTCCTCAAGAAGTTGGTTGCTTACGTTCTTCATGGAACTTTTCCAGGTAGTTCGTTTGATCTGTTTTGGTTCAAAACTTTTTGGAAAATGTTGCTTATGACTTGTTTGGCAAAACCCATTTTTGAATAAGTGCTTTTTCCAAAAGAACTTATTTTCAAAATCACTTTTCTTAAAAATCACTCTTCTCTCTCTTGGAACAATTAGAACAGAAATCTGTCGGATCTGTGCCGGGGTCGGAAATGGAGTCGGGAGCTGGCGGCGGAATATTCTATTACCCTCCCGACGTACCCGATGATGATAATTAACTGAGGATATTGGGACCGAAAACCAACTTTAATTAATTCTATTATTTTCAACTGTTGTTGACTTGTTTTGCAGGTCCGAGAAAAATCAAAAGTCGAGGAGTCGGATACGAAGACCACCTTAGAACCATTAGGAACTTAGTACTTAGGAAATTATTTTGTAATTTCTTTTGTAAAAATATAATTTAATAAATAAATTCGATTCTTCAATTACTTCTTGTATTTTGTAAAAAATATAGACTTTAAATAAATAAATCCCACTTTCAACGAACCGACTCTATTTCTCGATTTAACTTCCCCAATTAAAATCGCCCGATTAAACTCAATCAACTAAATTCATTTAATTCATCTGCTTAAATCCATAAATTCAAATAATTCAATTTACCCCAGCTAAATTCACCTGATCAACGTCATCCGATTATAAGTCATCCAATTAAACATATTCAAATAAACTCATTTAATTAAATTTATCCAATGAAATTTATCCTATCAAGCTGTGACGTTCTAACTCCGAATTTGACAACTAAATCATTTTGCACGATTTAAATCCGACGTAACTGAGTTCAAACATTTCTCTTGCGAATTAATTTGTACCCGATATTAACGGTGAATATGGCCTTGAATGGATAAGCAGAGAAATTCAGCTAAACAGCAAAGCGAACTATCTTCTGTATTGAAAATTCAAACTGCCTCTCGAATGATT